CTTTTGAACAGTGGTTGCTTTGTTTCCCCGACCAGTTATTCATCATTCTTGATAGAGAGGAACGTTGGTTTGAGAGAGGAGTAAAAGAAGCCATTTTTGTGAAGAAAGACCGTCCATCATTAAACAGAGGTGGAGGCCTCCGTTTTCAGTTGTCCCCCTCCTACAGTGCTGCTATTGCCAGTATCACTCCACCCCCTGTTAACAATAAGTGTTAATCAGGTGTCAACGATAGCCATGTGATGTGAGTATCAGTCACATGGAGGCAGTTCTTAAAAGCCTGAATTTTGCCTGAAACTCTCAGACTGAAGAAGTCTCTTGGAGGAGAGACGAAACATTTCATTAGAGAAGAACCCGTCCAGAAGACCTATACAATTTTTTTCTTTTTGAATTTTTTTACCTGGATTACTAAGATGCATCAGGACAACTGATTACTTAATGAAAATTATTTATTTAACACCCTAGAACGTTTGATTCTCAGGCATTTTATTCATTTAAATTCAAATTAAACAAAGATAAAAATGTTGCCTTGAAAGTGCATGAGTAATTAAATACATAAACCAGGTAACGGCAGGTGCAGGAACAGCAGCGTCCAAAACACATCAGAAACTCACAAAAATTAGCAAATTCCATGAGATTCCACATTTTATACAGGATTCCATTTTGTGTCAACTCTGTGATTCCGTTTGCCTTTTCCACATTGTGGAAATCATAGAGCCCCAAATCTGTCCTATTTTTTTTTTTTTTTTTTTTTTACACATCTGGGAAATTTTTCCTCGTACCTCCTGTAATGTGCTCGCGTACCTCTGGTTGGGAATCACTGATGTAGAGAAAAACTGGTATAAATTTGTCCAGAATCACATGAATATTTTATTACTGTACTGAGATGAGTTAAACAGCTTAACTGCCTGAGGGACAAATGACTTCCTGAGTCTGTCTGTGGAGCAGGTCTGGGACCAGGGGTGTGGAAGTCAGGGGAAATGTGAACCTGAGTACCCCGGGCCCAAGAGGGGAGAGGGGCCCATGGAAGTCCTGATTTTTTCCCCCAAATGAAATGGGCCCTCCAATTAACTTGTGTAGTAATTTATTTCAAATATATTGATAACATAAACTGAGAGAATGAACTTTATTTTACTGTCCATCCAACATATCGGACATTGTGTGGGCCCCCTCTTCGAGGCGCCAAATGGTTTAGTCCGCCCGACAGCAACCAGGAAGTGTGGAACCCAGACACAGCTGAATGAGCTGAGAGCAGACCCAGACAGACTACTGGGAGAACTGGGAGGTCTGCCTGCCTGCTGGCTAAAAGCTCCGGTCGCTCTAGAAGTTTTAAATAAACAATCTGGTGTCGTCCTGCTTCGGAGCTGCTGTGCGTCCCGGAGTCTGACACTACACTATCCCCCCGGCTCACTGAGATGCGCACACTTAGTGCAGAAACACAACGTGGTGATGAATTGTCAGTGCTCCTGGAGCTGCTGCAGGTAACGTGAGTCTCATTAACAGAACATCCAACTTCTGATCAAAATTTATTCTTTATAAAGAACCAGAAATAAGTCCACAGGACAGCTGTTTTTCTTATGAAAATTTAGCTTGCTGCTATAATCACATATTATAGCTAATGTTAATGATCACTTTTAGTTATAGCATTTAATCTATTATTGAGTTGTTTTTAATCAGTTAAACTGTATTTTAATCCTGTAATTTCTGCTATTTAGTCTACCTGCTTCAGTACACCTGTTTATAGTAAAGCTTATAAATATTATAGTAGTACATTTTTATAATCTTAGCAAGAATAAATTCATCACATTAAAAAATGTTTAAATTTCTTTCGGAGTTTCTGTATTTTCTGCAAAAAAGTAGAGCTTCAAGGTCAGAAAACTTTTCCTTTTTAACAGTGAAATGACAAAAAGAAAAAATAGTGATCTGGTATTTACTGATATTATTTCATGATATTTTCTTGATTTTTTTTTAAACCTAATACATGTGTGTTGATGTAGGAGCTGGATACAGAGAGTCAGGGGCAGTAAGACAGAGGGTCTCAGGTAAGAGATGAAGGTGTCGGGCAGGTGTGAAGGAAATATAAAACGTTATTTTGAGTACATTCTAGTCAGTTGTGTGAACTTCATGAAATAAATTACTGATCTAAACACATAATCTACAGTATGATTAATAATTTCATTTTATTTTGACCAGTATAAAAGTGATAGGCTTATTACTTTCCTCGTTTAGGAAGAGACTACTCTTCCTGAGGCCCAAAACACACCAAATAAAACACATCAAAACGATAACAATACAATTAACAATAAAACTAGATCAGAAACAACCAGCACAAACATAAAACAAAGAACCCAACTTACACAGCAAAATAAATCTACTCCCTCAAATATGTCTAAATACAAAAGAAAACAAAGGAAAATCACTATTAAATCACTAAATTATTGGCTTGATGGATTTATAAATTGACAGCTGTTTTTACTATAACACCATGTCATTGCATATGATAGATATTTTAAGACTAATTTTGAATTTATTGTATATGTTTAAATTTAGGTTCAAAAGCAACTTTTTCCAACAAGAAATGGTTACAAAACTGTATTTTTCTATGTTTTTGTTCTTGGTAAAGTAAAAAAAAAAAAAAACACCAGAAGCTTGTCTTGTACTAAAAGCATGTCTGTCTGAAGAGGCAGCTGTGAAAAAAAAGTCAAAAGGTTTTTGTGACATTATAATTTCATATAAAAGATGAAGACTGTATTTAAGTCTTTCCTTGACTTTAATCCACAACAGGTCTTGATGCATTAAATCAACATTGGTCCTAAAATCACAGCCCAGTGTTAATCTGAGAACTGTCTGCAGTTTGTCCAAAACTTTTTTATCAGCACAGGACCAAACAACTGAACAAAGGCCATATGACATAAAACTATGGATTATAATACCATTTTTCTTCATTTTAGAGCCAAGATATGAGCATTATGAATAATAGCAATAATTCAGCTCGTTTTGGTTTCTGTCTTTTGAGTATAAGTGTGCTCCTTTTGCTCTGTGATGGATCAGAGCCAAAGTAAAGGTAAAGAGCTCCACCTAGTGGTTAAACTCATTATCACGTATAAGCACAAACATTGTTCTTCTATCCTCATGGGGACTTTGCATTGACTTACACTCATTTAACTGTAATTTCTACAGCTTTCTACTAAATTTCTACTAAACCTCCTTTCTCTGAACTCTCCTCCCTCCTAATGAAGCGCAGCACATGACGAACACTCAGTGTATGAGGTCTATTCAAACACTACGCCTCACCGGAAAATGCCAGACATGTTCTACATCTTACAGCACGTACAAATCAACAGGCCGTCTCCAACTGGAACAGCCGACTCCACCATGCACTTCCCATAAAGTGTGGCCCAGTGGGCTGGACCTGGACCTGATCTTGAGCAAGCATGCACTTACTAAGGGATTTACCAACTCTGCAAAGCCAGGTGGCAGGTGGGACCCTCTATGTAAACACTCCCCTAACCCTGATACTTTACCCTAAACTTAACCTCACAGGTACCTAACTGACCCTAAAACTGACCTAAACTCAATTTATATGTTGGTCTTAAACTTAAACCCTGACCCACCTACAGTATTTCCCCTAATGGGGACCAGGCTTTGGCACACACGCACGCACGCACGCACGCACGCACGCACACAAACACACTGAATCATGCAGGAGAAGGTGTTTGTGCTGTAGTGCAACAATGATCACTCACATTTCCTCCACCATGTCAGCCGGACCCTGGACCTGACCCACCACCGTCCCACTGTAGGTGTTCTTCACCCAGCCCACCAGGCCGAGCCGCAGACCCTCCTTCTCTGTGTACTGCAGGACAGGAACCATCATCATCATCATCATCTTCCCACAGATAAAATGTTTGACAGCACACAAAAAAAAAAAAAAAAAACATGCAGCATATAAGCTGAAATCAAGATGTCAGGCAAGCTGTGAGATTAATAACATCCAAAAGATATGAAATGTAATCCATTACACAGATTTTTTTCAAACTTAACCCTAATTTTAACTACTGAATAAATTCTAAAAGAATTTTCAGTAAATCAGGAGTGGTGACCAGGTCTACTCATGGGGTCCGGTTGGACTCAGCCTGAATGAGCTACTTGGGTTTGCCTTTCTGTGGGCCCACCGCCTGCAGGAGGGGCCGTACGGGTTGAGTGTATGACATGACATCATAAGTGGCAAATCAAAGGTGGGAATCTTGGCGCTCTGGTCCTGGCCTACCACAGCTGGCTCTTGGGACATGGAACGTTACCTCTCTGATAGGGAAGGAGCCTGAGCTTGTGCGTGAGGTTATAGTTGGGCTCACCTCAGCGTGGTTGGGAGTAATGGGCTCTCTGATCAGAATTTGAGCAGTTTTCTGTTGCTGGACTTCTGTGCTAGTCACAGTTTGTCCATCACAAACACCATGTTCCAACATAAGGATGTCCATAAGTGCACGACGTGGCACCAGGACACCCTAGTTCGCAGATCGACGATTGACTTTGTGTCATCTGATCTGCAGCTGCATGTTTTGAACACTCTGGAGAAGAGAGGAGCTGAACTGTCCTCTGATCACCACCTGGTAGTGAGTTGGATCAGACCTGGTGGACCCAAACATGTAGTGACGGTTTGCTGGGACCATCTGGCAGAAGAACCCATCAGAAAGATTTCCTGCTTAGTGTAAGGTTCTGCTTCAAGTAGAGGTGTTCAAGTATCTTGGGGTTTTGTTTACAAGTGAAGGAAGAATCAAAGGTGGGGTTGATAGATGGATTGGTGCAGCTTTGCAGACTCTATACTGATCCGTTGTGGTGAAGAGGAACTGAGCTGTAAGGTGAAACTTTCTGTTTACCAGTCAGTCTACATTCCTACCGTACTATAGTAATGAAATTTGGGTAGTGACCGAAAGAACAAGATCACAGATACAAGCTGCTGAAATAAATTTCACTGCAGGGTAGCTGGACTCTCCCTCAGAGAGAGGGTGAGAAGTCCAGTAATTTGGGAAAGACTCAGAGTATTGAGAGGAACCAGTTGAGGTGGTTCAGGCATCTGGTAAGGATGCCTCCTGCATGGACTTCTCCTAGGGAGGTGCTTCAGACCTGTCTGACTGGGAGGAGACCCCGGGGAAGACCCAGGACGCACTAGCAGGCCTGGGAACACCTTGAAGTCCTCCCATATATATATATATATATATATATATATATATAAAATCCGGTTACAACTGACAAATTTTTAGCATCAATCTACTGTAATTCAAGATTACCACCACAGCTAATTATAATTAGCAAATGCAAAAGTGGATAAAACTCATAACTCAGGTCAGTTTGACAATAAAGAGCTAAAATTTGATGTGGTAGTAGCTCAGAGTTGTTAACATACTCTCTTCATAATGTATTGTAGGATTGTAGGAAACATATTTAAAGTGTTGATTTAAAGGGTTAAATCTGTTATTTCTCAGCATAAATTGATTTTAGTCTAACATCACTGGCTGTGTTCCATTATTATATGAGGCCTTTAATAACTTTTTGATTTACAGCTTAATAATAAAAAATATTATTTTTTTCAATTTGGCAATAATTGTATATACGGTAGGGAAGAATCACTATAGAAAAATAGAGGTTAAAAACTGTAATTATTTTAAAGTGAGGAAAGCTGTTATTTTAATTGCTTCAAAATTTTTAATTTTTTTTAAACAAATAATGAAATTAGGTATCAGTGTCCTCTGGGTGATTAATTCAGCACCTGATACAGGCTGGTTTCTGGGCCAAAATAGAGACTTCTGTGTGAAATAAAAAATAACCTTTTTGTTTTAGTGTTTTGTGGAGATTTAACTCACCATTCTGAAACAAACACCTGAAAGATAAAATAATAAACAGTCATTAGGATCAACATAAAACAGATATGAAGTGTTTTTAGCAGTCAGAACAGCTCTGCAGCTCCTACAGTTTCTAAATGTGAGCTCTGCTGCAGTCAGATCCTGCAGCTTGTTCCTAAATAAAGCAGCAGTGGATCATTTTACAGCCTGCAGGGCTCAGCAGAGGAGGAAGAAGAGTTAAACACAGACCCTGAACGTGACCGAAGATCTCAAAGTCCACCGACACCAGCTTGTTTCCTGCTGACATCCTGCAACACAGAACTTCTCTTCAGCAGCAGGAGAGGTTAAAAAAAGGAGAGGGTCCACTCTGAGGCTGCTCTCTCTGCTCCTCCCACAACAATTTAAAGGAAAATCTCACCTCCTAAAGAGCTGATGGTCTTTGTAGTCTCACCAGGATTTATTAGAAAAGTAGAAGCTTTTATAGAAAAGCTGAAAAATAGCTGCAGAGATTTTTCTGGTGCCTGCCACTCGTTCAGTGTCACCATGACTGCTTCAGCTCTGTTCAGGTCTGCACCTCGGTGGTTTTCAGTAGAACTTGACTTGAGTCCTAATGGGTGGGATTGTCATGGCATGGCTGCCCTAAACATCTGCAAGGGTATATTCTATCAAAGAAAAATACAACATTTTTGTCTTTTTGCAGCCAATATTAATGGTTTTGCAGTAGAACAAATGTTTTTCTCTCAAAGTGCATCATAAAGTCAGTGTTGTAACACTTGGCCTAATTTGCTCCATGTTGAATTTCTCAAACTTCATTTCAGAAGCAATTAAATTCAGTTAAATTCAGTTTATTTATATAACGCCAAGTCATGTCTCAGGGCATTGTACACACACACACACACACACACACACACACACACACAC